TTTCAAGTTTTGTTCAGTTTTTGCCCAGAAGACTACGTGGTTTAGAAGTAAAATTCATCCTTGTGTCAAGCCCTCTGCTTACCTTTCCCATTTGTTCATTTCACTTCTCCGTGATGACCTCTTATCCATTCTTGGTTAATGAGCGGTTGTCGCTTGGTGCATGATTCTGTAAAACTCCCTGTTTCCGAGTTCAAGCTGTTGTAAAGTACCTTATAACTTTGAGTCTCTATTTAGTCCCCTTCCATCCTATGTTAAACGGGACTAACTTACACTTGCAGAAAGAAAAAAAATGATCTTGACAGAAAAGGCTCTTTGACTTTTCCTCTGCGGACTGCTTGCGTGTTCGTGTCTGTAGTCCAGTTGCAGGTCGTCATTATTACGCCATATACAAACGCTACTAGTTTCTCCATAAGTAACAACAATTTTCGCACTTTTACAGGATGGATACGTCGCCTCCCATTATGCCTGCGTCCAATGAAATGGCCTCCGCCAGTACCGAACCCGGCCCGAGCGGCACCTCCACATCAGCTATGGAGACGGCCTCGGGTCCAGCGCAGAGTGACTTTGAACGCATTAACGAGGTGACCGACGCCTCGGACGAGATCCTGAAGTACAACATTGAAGTTCACCGGTCGATTGTAAACGCGCGACCTTGGAACAAGGATCCGCACTACTTTAAATCGGTCAAGATATCAGTGGTGGCTCTTTTGAAGATGCTCATCCACGCGCAGTCAGATGGCATTTATGAGGTGGGTTTTTCCACTATTACTATTACTGAAAGAAGCCGGGGTTTGCCGGTATTATGTGCTGTGAGCTTTTTAACGCATAGCACTTTCATTCCGTGCCCGCTTTTAGCATCATCTTCAACTTCCCAATTTTCCCCAAACTCATAACACGCCTTGATGTTTCAGTGCCCTTGACTACCACCGAAAAGTGCCCTTTCCTTCTTCGCTTCTCTGATTTTCTTTCTCGACCTCTCAAATGCCTTTACTTTGAAGGCTCCATTTTTTCTGCCTGCTGATATATATATATATATATGATAGAGAATACGCGCGGCCCAGGTAATTGCATAGAAGAATACGGGAAGGCGATCGCTGGGACCAATGGTTTATTTATCCGACGTTTCGAACTCTCACGCGAGCCCATCGTCAAGGAATGAAAAAACTGTACAGCTCGTCGTGTATTTAGCTCACCTCTGCCGGGGGTGACCTCTAGCTGCGCTGTTGATTTGTTCACGGAGTGCTTGATAGGCGATTGGCAGATCGATATGTCGATTAATCGCGTCCTCAGTTGAGTGCCACGCTTCCTGCAGCAGGCGCGCAACTCGGTTGTCTGACTGTCCTAGTATTCTCACGCTCCCAAAGTCAAAGGCGTGTCCTGGCGAGGAGGCGTGGGCGGCTACCAAAGAGAGTTTATCCTTCCGTCTCACGGCCAATTCATGCTCATGCAATCTCGTGCGGACCTGTTTTCCGGTTTCACCAACATAACTGGCCTGACCGCAATTGCAGTCTATGCGGTAGATGACCCCCGATTTCTGATTTATGGGAATCGGATCCTTGGGCTGCATGAGTTGACGGCGGATTGTGGCTTCAGGTCTGTGCGCGACGCCGATCCCAAATTCGCTCACCAGTCTGGCGAATTCTTCTGACAAACCAGCTACGTACGGAACTGCGCGCCAGCACTTCGGTTTCGGGCAGCCTCAAGGAACTCTCGGCCTTTCTTGAAGGGGCAGGCGCCGACAATCGGGATTTTCGTGCTGGATTTCCCTAAACTCACTGTCTTGTTCAACATAAGTGGAATTTGGTTACAAAACCATGACGGTTCGACCGTCGTTGCTGACGATATCCACTGTGTGCCCCACAGTAAGTTGGGCGTAGGGACGGTGACTTGTGCGTAAATTAGTTTGTGATGGTAGCAGACTTGCATAGTATCCACCGTTCTCTCTCTCTCCTCCCTCACATATCTGAGCCTGGTGCCAAGACCGCAGGTAGGATCGGGCGCAGTGGCGGGCAGAACTAAACAACCTGTCTACGCTTGCCATGCAAGAAACAAGGCTGGGTACGACTTGGGTCCCATCTGACTTCCCGTCTTGTGAGGCGAACCGAGTTAGCAGCCTTCCAAACCGCGGCTTTTAGCACACCGCGATAGTTTGAACGCGCGTCTGATTACTAATAGTGAGGAATATGCGCTGTGTGCCGTGGCGACGCAGGCTCCAGAATCGACTTCGCCCTATCATCCCTCTCTCGGACACTAGTCAACTGTCCGAGCAGGTCTGATGCGGACATCAGGCAAGACGTGGGTCTGTGCCTAGGCGGGCCACTAGAGATACGCACACCCACAGACACAGGACGCGTGACCCACGTTTCCTTTCAAACTAGCGCTCTATCAGTGCTCCTCGCATAAATCAGTTCTTGTCGAGGTAGATCAGTCATTTGTTCACTTTAGGAGAAGCCCAAGTCGGTTCTGTCCTTTGTTACCAAGGTATCCGATCTGTCGTATGTCCCGGTCAAAATATGACTGGCGGAAGAGGGTCCTAGTAAGCCCAGGGTACTTGGAGTGTCAGGCTGTTCATTACACTTGAGGTGATTTGGGCGTGTTCTCCGTCGTCCACCTCAGGTGGTCAGTGTAACGGCCTCGATCCAGCACCGTTACCCCTATTGGAGGCGTCGAAGACGGGTTCAACTCAAAACCCGACTCGGCACTGTTCGTCAAGATATGGAGGTAGTTTTGGGCCTTCGGTATTCGGTCTCCGACGTTGGCGAAGAGAATGGATTGAATTATTCAGGTATGCTGTCTCGGATCTTCGCGCGTGGAGAGGTACAGATCGAGACATCGAGGCCGGCTAGATCGGGCATGGTCGCAGACGTACGAAGTACAAGTAAGCAAATACCCCTCATAACTCCAGCAGTGTCTTACAACATCCCAGGCGAAGAAAAGCATTGCGGACACAACTTGGACGATGTGAGCACAGTTTGTGTGTTGCGCATATCAATTTGTTTTTTTTTGGGATTATTTGGACTGCATACTTGAGTTTAATACAGCTCTCGTCTTTGTCGGCCTACCACTAATCCGGGTTCAGTTTTATTGCGGGAAATGTAGGTCTTCACCTTTGAACTCCCTATTGGTTTAGAGGCAACTGGAAAATCTCAAAAATTGGAAAAGGCATCATAAAGGTAACAAATAATCGGCAAAGCGTCAGCTCTGTACGGACGAAAAAACTGTTTCGAATATTAGTGGTGCGAGCAGTTGTACGGCGGTCGTTTCGAGTACAGGGAAATAAATAATATACCCGTTGACAAAAGTAGCATAGGTGCATGTCAGAAGCGTAAGCGATGGGTTGGAGACAATAAGAAATTCAATTTAAATGTTACTGAAATATAGCAAGTGGTATTATAACAATGGGATTTGTCGGGGTTACAGAGGTCGGGTGGTAATTTAGTGGACACTGCTACACAAATCCAGCCTCCTCGACAGAAATAGACATAACGACATCCGGAGGGAGGGCGTTCCAAGCATCTAGCACTCTGTTAGAGAAGAAGCACTTTCGTGTGTCCAACCTGACCCCGGTCACACGTAATTTGAATGGATGACCTCGTAGGTTTGTGGTGGTTGATAACTCGAAGAAGTCCCCCTGTACGAGGCTGCAGTCCTGACCGCGTATGATACGGAAGGCTTGTATCAGGTCACCCTGTAACTGCCTGTAACCCAAGGGAAAAAGATCAAGGTTAGCTAACCGCGTTGCACATGGTAGTGAACTCTGTCCTGCCACAAGTTTCGTTGCACGCCTTTGAACCCTTTCGAGGATGCTGAGGTGCTTCGCGGTCCAGGGTCTGCAAGCTTGGATAGCAAATTCCAGTTGCGGCCGCACAAACGTTCGAAAGACTTTAGCGAAGCAGTCTTCATCAAAGGCCGAGTAAGGCCGAGTAAGCTTGTCGTCAAATAGCTGCGCCCCCCCCCCCCCCCCCTAGCGATGTACTTTTTCCTATGACCCTTGCACTCCGCTTCTTTGCCACATGCAGACACATCCGCCACCACTGCTTTCTTTTGCAGGTCATGGGGATGCTCATCGGCAAGGTGGCTCACGAGACAATGATTGTTGTGGACTGCTCTCCTCTGCCTGTCAAAGGAACTGAAACTCGAGTGAATGCTCAGGTTCGGACTTTTCGCTTTTCTGATCCAACTAACTACCTTGTTACGACAACCGGAAATCTTGCTTTTATTTAATCTGCAATGGTATTTTGGCAGATTTTAAATAGTTCATATTGACCCAACTGTGAAATGGGATTATGAACCTAAACCTAAATATACGCTTTCTTCGAGTATAAAATCTAAGGATAAGGTGATATTCAACCAAACGCGTAAAGGACAGTATATTTTGTGCGTGTTTTCTCTAAAGTATATTTGAATTTATAAAACCATCGAAAGTCAGTGTGAAGAATGCATGCTACATAAGTAGTCATTATTTACCGAGTGTGGTTTCTGCAGAGGTCGAAAGGAAGTGCATTCAAAAACCGACATCCTGGCGAGTCCGAAATATTATAGCATTATGCCGCAAGCTAATCAATATTACAATCCCACCTTAGTAATCCTTCCTAATTAAAAACGAATTTCAGCCAACATTTCACGAGATCGGCCGCTCACCGTATGTTGACTGAGATTTCTATTGTCATTGCTAGGGTAATGATAAGCGTGCATGCCATCTTGCGCGCAACTTTACGGTGCCGTCATCGGGCTTTGCAGCCTTTTTTATAAGCCATCCAGCGTGCCAGACCGCAGCACTCCGCACCCTGGTAGCACTGTCGCTGCTGGTTCGCGAATGCTTATTCGTAAGGCACACGGGTCTGCGTATTTCGCAGCTAACCCTCACTGAAGTCCGTTCAGCTGTCCACCACTTGTATATGCGGCGGGTAGGCAGGCTAACAGGCAACCCATAGTAAGCAAGCAAGTAGTAAGTACTTATCTCTGCTGGTTTCTTCCCACAGACTTTTCTCATCATTGCAATCCTTCCTACAGGCAGAGGCCTACGAGTACATGACAACCTACAAGGAACTGGTTTCGCGCGTTGGCCGAACGGAAAACGTGCTGGGCTGGTACCACTCCCACCCTGGGTACGGCTGCTGGCTTTCTGGCATTGATGTGAGCACACAGCTCATGAATCAGACCTACCAGGAGCCCTTTGTCGCAATTGTCATCGACCCGATCAGGACAGTCTCCTCCGGCAAGGGTGAGTGTTAGGACCGTTGGGTTTCAGTTACGCTGAGGTTACGCGAAAGGCCTCCGGTATCGTTTAATCAACTATCCTGCAGAATTTCACAAAGGAACTTTACAAGTGACTGCAAAATGTTTGTTCTTTTAACTTGGCGAATGGAAGCTGCATCCAAGACCCTAGGGATTTCCGTCGGAATGTTCCCGATAGGATTCGAAGGATGTTAGGATTTTAGTCTTGAAATCTTTTAACTGTGAACCTCTTTTTCGCTTTACTTAAAATATTTCCCGAAAATGAATATCTTGACTACAAAAACTCCTTGGAATTCATTGACCGTTGTTGGTCCTGCTTGTCCTTGCTCTCGTTATTTTAGTTAATCTTGGCGCCTTCCGAACTTATCCCATCGGTTACCGACCACCGGACGAGGGTCCCTCCGAGTACCAGTCCATCCCGATGGACAAGATTGAGGACTTCGGCGTACACTGTAAACAGTACTACTCCCTTGACGTGAGCTACTTTAAGTCTTCCCTGGAGAGTCGCATCATTGGTCTCCTTTGGAACAAGTATTGGGTCAACACTTTAAGCTCTGCAAGCATCCTTGCCCAGCCAAACCACCTGACGGACCTCACCAAGGACCTCGGTGAGAAGGTTGGGACGACTGTTTCAACGGTAGGGCTATTCACGTAACTGCTACGTTTCCCTCTTTTTTCCTGCCTATTCCCCCTCCTGCGTGTGTGCAAAGTAAATTGTTGCTACTACATTAACTTAAGTAGCAAGTGAAGGCATTGCACAATACTCTCAACACAGGTACTAGCTAAAAGCCCAGACACGTGTTTCGCCGATATTCTGCCGCTGCGTGACACAGCTGCGAGGGGTTCGGCCCCCTCAGTGGGTCCCCCAGTGTTCTCTATCCGGTTTATGGTATGTGCCCTGCCTACTGATGTTGTGCTCTCCTGTGTGGATTCATTCAAGTGTAAATTCGACGCGTGTCAAGCTTCTCTATTACCAGCCACACGCACACTCACATAACCCGTCAGTAAACTTGCATGTGTTTATACTACGTACAATGACTTAGCATCCGCTCATGCTTACCCCTTTTTCGATTAGCTGGCAGTTGCCTGCCTTTCGCATGCGATTATGTACACAGACACTTTTTTAACTTTTCACTTATCAGTGCTTTTCTCAGACGATTTGTAACCAATAGGGTGTTCACGGGCGTTCGCCTATATTTTTCTTAATAAAACTGAACTTAAAAAGTAGTACAGCAAGTAGTATGAAGTCTAGATGGTGAAGGTATTATGCCGTACTCCCGACATAGATACTTGCTAAACACATGTCTGGACTTTTGCTAGTATCTGCATCGGTAGTACGGTATAATACCTTCGGCATCTAGATTTCATACTGCTTCTAGTACTACTTGTTTGTAGAATGTGCATTATATGGTTATTCCACAGTAGTTGATTGTCTTCGACTCGAATGTTTATTGAAGTCCGAGGTCCCACCCTAAAAAGTCCCTGGAGCCCTAACTCCATGTCCTGCACTAAAATACTTTCTGAAACATTTCGCTTGATAAGTAGTAAGTGTTTAATTAGTTGCAAAACCCCACCTTGTGCCCCATTGGCGTCTACGTATTTTACACTAAACCATTATAAGGCTTTGATGCGCGTACCCTCATCAATGGCAGCCGAAACTGCACCATTGAGTCCGTTTTCATCTTCTCTACGAGTGTGAGCCGACATTCCTCCATCTTTTATCATCCCGCTTGACCTTCAGCAGTATTAACGTCCCGAACTGGGTTCTTTGACGTCGGCTCGCCGAACTACCGAGTTAACATATGACAAACTGGTAGCAAAATCCTTATCTAGATGGGCGAAACTTCCATGTTATAAGAAGAATGTTCGCTTCTAATTCCGGTGTCATTTTTTCCATCAAGGTGAATCGCATCAGTTTGGACTGTTCCCGGCTGCAGGACAAACTGCATAAATGCAGCAAGGATGCCACCAAAATAGCCATGGAACAGATGCACGCGCTCATGGGCCAACTGGTGAAGGACAGTCTCTTCAATGTCTCCTGAGCAGTATCCCCGTCCGCCGTGCTACCTACCCTTTATGAACTCTGACCCCTACTTTTTGTCCCGATTTTTTGAAAAACCCTCTATCTTGTTTTCCTGCTCGGGGTTTTCTTCCCGCGAGGCGTTGCCAACGCTGTCCTACTCTGAGGTCTGCTGTTGAACAAACCTTCAAGCAATTAGAGATAGCAGGAAAGGAGTATCGATGCAGACAAGGTGGGTTGGGAAGCCATTAGACATCGTCAGCCAGCCACCTCCCTGCACGTATGACTGGTCGCCATGTGACTGCGTGTGAGACCTTTCAACTAAGCCCCGAGGCGCAACGGGACGAGCACGTCTTCGGTCGAGGAATCTTTCCGGGATATTACAGCCGAGGAGGATAAGCCAAACGCGTCAGTTCAGACAGTAGCCAGCATCACTTTTACTGCTGGTCACTCTGCCAATCATAAATGATAAAGGCATATTATCATTGCGACTTTAATGACAGCCCGGA